TGTTTCTAGCCTAATCTTTATTGACCTGCTTACAGAAACTGCCTCTCCGGTTAACCCTTATTGCATTGTAACAGCTAACGTGAAGCACCGTCAACGTGAGTGACATTGAGTTGGTCATGCCCATCCAGTCACACGACCACCAAGCCCCGCCTACCCAGCTGGTCATTAAGGCAGAGAACCGGTTGTTAAATTATTTGAATCCCACCACTGGTTTGGACTTACATCATTTGTGGCAACGTAATGATTCTAGACTGACGACTCGCTTAACTCAGCCCACCCAGCTCAGTCTGCTCTTTTGCTACAATGAGTGTCATTCTGGATGGGGAATTCTGGAGACTGAATTCTACCCATCCAAGTTGCCAAGGTGGAGAAACACTGCTAGGACTAAAATTACAAATAGAACTAAAAAAAATAAAATAGACCCTCATTTCGATTTCCTGCCATTGCTGTAGATAGCACTAAACTAGATGGATCAAAGTCAGTCTTGATATTGATTCCTAGATATCTCTCCCTTCTTCTGGAAATTACGTCTTGCCCACATGGAAATGTGAAAAATAACGGACCTCTAGCAGCCTACAGGGATGTGATGGCTCAGTGGCTAAAATGCTGAGCTTGTCGATCAGAAAGGTTGGCAGTTCGGCAGTTTGAATCCCTAGTGCCGCGTAACAAAGTGAGGTCCAATTACTTGTCCCAGCTTCTGTCAATCTAGCACTTCGAAAGCACGTAAAAATGCAAGTAGAAAATAGGGACCACTTTGGTGGGAAGGCAACAGTGTTCCATGCGCCTTTGGCGTTTAGTCATGCCGGCCACATGATCACGGAGACATCTTCAGACAGCGCTGGCTCTTTGGCTTTGAAACAGAGATGAGCTTAGAGTCAGGAATGACCAGCACATATGTCCGAGGGGAACCTTTACCTTTTACCTTTACCAAGTACCTCGTGGGCATATTTTGCACCTCTGCATTAGATCCTCGCAGGTTGCCCCAGGGAGTTACTTTACAATATTTTCCTTCTATTTCAGGCAGCTGCCAGGCATCACTGTTCCTACCTGGTTGGCTTCCACATGGGAGAGTTTCTGCAGGTCGGAGGGGACCCAGCCTGGCTGCGAGGTTTGCAGTATGCTCCGCAGAAACTCAGGAACCTGAATGAAATCAACAAGATCCTAGCTCACCGGCCTTGGCTGATCACTAAGGAGCACATTGAAGTGAGTGCCAAACTTGGTGGAAAGTGAGTTGGAAACTTTTTGTTTCCTGCAGTCAAAAGAAGACGGCAAACATTTCATTTTCCTATCATTTTTTTTTTTTGGTAAAACCAGTTTGTCCGGCAACTTGGTTCTTTCCACACTAAGCCATAAACTCTGATTTACAGTCCATAACGCCTGGGTTCATGTGACACCCTAAGACAAAACCAAATAAACAAAATTATAGCATTGCACAAGGAAGGAGACATCTCAAGAATTAGTGTCTTGAAGCAAATTCCTCTGGGGAATTTCCTTGGTCCATTTTACTTTTGTAGATGGCTTTGTATCTTTCCTAATGAGACAAATAATGATTTGGGGTAGGCTGGGGAATTCTGGGAGTTGAAGTCCACAAGCTTTAAAGTTGCCAAGATTGGACATTCCTGCTTTACAGGAAAGCTGCTGTCTTCTCCCTAAATACAGAATAACAGAGTTGGAAAGGACTTTGGAGGTCTTCTAGTCCAACCCCCTGCTCAGGTCAGAAACCCTATATATACCCTGATGGGGAACCTATAGCACACGGGCTGGAAGTGACACACAGAGCCATGTCGCCGGGCACATGAGCCGTTGCCTGTTGCTCTTCCAGGTTCCGGAGCACCGGCCAGCTGGACTTCATGCGCACAGGAGCACCGGAAACCGGAAGAGCAGCTGCCCGGTGTGCATGCACACGCCAGGAAGATGAACTTCCAGTTTCCGGCACGCACATGCGCACCAGCCACATGGTCTTCCGGTTTCTTGTGCACATGCGCAGGCGAAAACCCGCTGGCCAGTGTGCATGCATGCTCTGGAAACCAGGAAGACCGTCTTTCCGGCACATGCATGTGCACTGGGCAACTGCTCTTCCAGTTTCTGGCACCATGTGCACGCATGCTCCCTTTTCAGCACTCGGTGCCAGAAAGGTTCGCCAACACTGCCTTATACCATCTCAGACAAATGGTTATCGAATCTCTTCTTAGAAACCTTAAAAGCCGCTTGATAAATGGGATGGAGATTACTAATATTGTGAATTGGATTAATATGAAAACCAGGTAAGAACTAGCAGATTAAAATGTGGCCAACCTCCATGTTATGAAAGCAATGCTGTGCTTGAAATCTCGTGGCTACGTTAAGGGTACAGTTTGCCTGGAGGCATTTTTAGTGGGATTTGACCAATGAGGGCATTCAGTACCTGCAGGATTATCTCCATCTACCACTTGAAATTTTGCCTGCCACTTTGCGTCGCAGCCGTCCTGAAACAGGCAGACCCAGGCCCAAAGGTTTAGAGCAGTGTTTCTCAACCTTGGCAACTTGAAGATGTCCGGACTTCAACTCCCAGAATTCCCCAGCCAGCGAAATCTTCAAGTTGCCAAGGTTGAGAAACACTGGTTTAGAGGGTGAACCTCCTGCTCGTCTTACACGAGGGGAAGCTGATAGGGATACCTATAGAAGAAGCGCAGCTCCTCCTGGTGCAGACAAAAAGGCAGAAGCTGGTGCTGGGTCAGCTACTGAATTTCAATTTAGAGGTGGGTATTTGGACGTGGGGCGTGGTCAACCCCCTCAGTAAAAAACTGTTGCTGTTATTTGCATCTTGTGTATAGTAAAAAGGTGAAGAGGAAAAAAGACATTCTCCCTTTACGTGCGGTTAAATATGAGGATTATATAAGTTTGACAAAGGCGATGGAGATTATGAGCAACGTTAGCGTGAATTGGATCAATATGAACGATAGCTAGTCAAATTTGGTCATACACAACAGAGAAATGTTCAGATTGAACAAGAAAGGCATAGATGAAGATAGAGATAAAGGTGAGGAGT